TAACATTAAACCCATTACTAACTATGCTTAAGTAGGAGAAAATTATATATAATTGCCTACAATTTATTTCCTTTGGGCAGATAAATTTTATAAATTATATATTTCCATAATATCAACATAAAATTAGGCAAATAGAAATTTTTTTCACACTTTTAAATGCAAATAACAACACATATCCATTTCTAACACATATCCAACAATATTCAACCACTTTCATTTTTCAATATAAAAGGAAATATTTCACTTGCGTGACAATACAAATATACATAATGTAATTGAATTTTCCACGGATATGAATAAAATCTTTTATATTATATATATATATATATATATATATATATATATATATATATATATTATAGGAGAAGGTTATAATTACTACATCTTTTTCTTACTACCTCTTACTACTAAATCTTAATCGTTGATTTTCATCAATCTAACGGTTGTAACTTATAGAGTCATACTTATTAATTAATTATTAATTTCCAATAAATTATATCCATTAAATTGGCAAAAATCAATTGTTAAGATTTGATAGTAAGAGATAGTAAGAAAAAGATGTAATAACTATAACCTCTCATATATATATATATATATATATATATATATATATATATATATATATATATATATACACACACACATACAAGTACCGTACCTTATGACCATTCATATTTGTTAAACAACTCATTATCAACCACAATTATCAAAATTGTGTACCAAAATAATATTTTGCATTATATCATATTAAATACAAATAAATAAAAATGCAACTAAATATATATATGGGTTCGCTTTTTCTGCCGTAAGTCCAATACGACGTCGTTTTGGGACGGAAATCATAGTGTTTTTGTAATTTTAATTTATTTCAGGGTTATAATAGTCTTTATATTTATAATTTTTTAAGATTTCAATACCAAAACGACGTCGTTTTGAAAATAAATGCAGATAACTTATCTACATTAACTGTAGAAATATTTTTTCCTTCATATATATATATAAATCCTTACATATATTTTTTCCTTCATATATATATATAAATCCTTACATGCTTTATATATACCATTTTCATTGTTGCGCATGACAAGCTTCAGTATTGTTCACCTTTAATGAAAATAATAAATAACCAAACAATAATGAAATTATCGCTAACAGTACAAAAATCTTACATATTGGAATCGTAAAGCCATAAACTTTTACCAAACATAAACTTGAGGAACAATAACAAAATTGTTAATAGTCATGAGTCCACGTACGTTTTTCAAAATTGTGAAACAGATAACATAATTTTCAAAATTTAAAATCACCATTGTGACGTGACCCTAGCTTTTCAGCATCAAACAGTAAACATATCTTTTTGTTTTAACTTCAAACGGTTATCGATTCATTTATTTTATTAATAAAAAATCAAATAGATATATATTTTTAGATAATAAAACTTCAAACGTTAAACCTGCGTGAGAAGTTTTATCTAACTTGTATATATAGTTAGGAAAAATAATACTAACGACAATAAGGCATGTACTCCAAAAGGAATTCAAATAAAAGAAATTGCAGGACAAGAGCGCACCACATACGGTGATCAAGAAGGGCTCTTTGACCAATTGGGGTTTTTGTGATTTTAATTTATCAATTTAGTATTTAGTTCAAGGTATTTACGAATGAGGGTTATTTAGTGACGCGAGGAGGACCCAGCGTCACTGAGTGCCGCTACCAGCCCTCCGCGCCACTCATAATTTTTTATTTTTTTTTACTTTTTCCTATTGAGTGCCGCCCCCCTCTCCTGGGGCACTCACAGAATTGTGCCAAGTGGCACAATCTGGTTACTTCTATTACTGTGAAACTTCGGAAAGTCATAACTTTTGACTCGGGTATCCAATTCATATGATTTTTTTTGATTTCACATAACTTTTCAAGATCTACGCAATGACATCTCATTTAACATATTTTATCTCTCACAAACATAATTCAAATATGTAAAAAGTGCAATTAGTGTTGCAAATTTGAACTATATTAATGAAAGGTAAAATATATCAAATGAGGTGTCATTGGGTATATCTCGAAAAGTTATGTGTAATAAAAAAAAAATCATCTGATTTGAATACCCGAGTCAAAAGTTATGACTTTCCGAAGTTTTACGGTAATAGGAGTAATCAGATTGTGCCACTTGGCACAATTCTGTAAGTGCCTCAGGGAAGGGGCGGCGGCACTCAATAGAAAAAAGTAAAAAAATAAATAAAAAGTTGTGAGTGACGCGGGGGGTTGGTAGCGGCACCCAGTGACGCTGGGTCCGCCTCGCGTCACTAAATGACCCTCATTCGTAAATACCTTGAACCATATACCAAATTGATAAATTAAAGGAATAAAAACCCCTAATAGGTGAAAGAGCCGATCAAGAAGCCATACACAGTATATGGAAATCGAAAATCTAAAAATCGCCTTTTAATTAAGATAGCACAAATTTTTTTAAGATTCTTAATTAAATCGAACAACAAGTTTATGAAAAATTCAATTTCCTCAAATTGAATGGATTCTATAATCATATACATCAGAGGCTTTGATACTAAATGAAAGAATTACTTTAACCCTGGATCATGTATATGATTATAAAATACCGAAACAATATGAAATTAAAATTGGGATGGTGCGTACCTTAATCGATCATCACAAAGAGGAAGAAATGAGGGAACTACATGCCAGATCTTTCTCACTATGATCTATTCCGAAAATGGCAGTCTTCAGCAATGGGAACATGACAACTCACGAGACTTAATCCTATATAAATAGGCTAGAGAGGGGACCTAGCAAAACTCTAATCAACAGTGTGTCCGATGAGTCCACCCATCACGGAAGCCCAATCAGACACTAATGCCTATAATATCCTGCCCAACTAGGTTCAGTACCAAAAGATGCCAAAAGCCCAACTTAACATGATTACAATGAGCTTATCACCATAGATTAAATTAGAATATCCATTAATCCGATTATTTTAGAAAATACAAAAACATTAATTAATTTCTAACAAGAAACACTTTTATCCTAAAACATCAACATCTCTATCCTCGATTAGTATTAAAAAAATACAAATATTTTATTTTTTAATATATTAGTATGTCAAAAAATTCTTATTTTTTTTGAACAAAAGAGTATTTGATAAATAAAAAATTCATATATTTATTTTTTTATCTATTGTATATTGTTTTTTATAATTAACCCGATCATGGCTTATACATATATCCTTTTTTTTATAGTACTTTAGTTCAATTTTTGTTTTCAAGTTTTAATTATTTATACTTATTTAATTTTTTTTCTATGTTACAGAGGAGTATATTTAATATTTTAACTCAGTTATACATGATAAATAAAAATAGGGCTTTATATAGAGCAAATAGCTTGAAAGCCTCAACGAAAATTAGAATACCATGTCATGACATGACTAAATTCACCACATAATGAATGAGTGTGATTTCATAAAAACAAACCAAAAAAAAACAAACAAAGCTTCAAAATCTTTTTAGAACTTCAAGGCAGCACCAATTGTTAAGAAATAATATAAATCATTAAAAATAGCCCTCACCCAACACCTTAGGCTTTGTTTGGGAGCTTGAAGGGGAGGATAAGGAAAGGAAGTGAAATATAGGGTATTTTCTTCCCTTGTTTGGAGTTAAAAATAAGGTAAGGGAGAAAAATAGAAGGTTAATAAGATATTTTTATAATTTTAGCATTTTAAAAAAAATTAATATACTTGCTATATTTTACAAATGAAATTTAATTTAATTTAAAAAAAAAAAATTATTTATGTACTTTTCACACCAAAAAAAAAGATCATATTTTTTGATGAAATTTTTTCCTTGCAAATGACGAAAATTTGTCAAAAAATACTTTTTCGATGGAATTTTTTTGCCAAAATGCGCTTCGTCCAAAGGCAAAAGAATTTAGCATCTGTCAAAAAATTTGACGAAAATAAATATACGCCAAAATTTTTTGACAGAAAATAATCTATAGAAAATCTTCCTTTTCTGTTAAAAAATAAGGCATTAACATAATATTTATTTAATTGATTTCTTCGAAATTTTCACACAAAATGATGACATGCTTTTCTCGAAATTTTTGACAAAAGAAATATCGTCGAAAAATTTCGACTGAAAAACAAATTCGGTACAAATTTTTGAATAAAAAAAAATTTCATAAAAAAAATTCACACGGATTGATAACATGCATTTTTTGAAATTTTATACGAAAATTTTTGGCTGAGAAAATTCAGTTGAAAATTTTCAATGAAAAAAATATTTGCATTGAAAATTTTCATATAGATTGATGACCTGGGTTGGTTTTGCTGGTTCTTTTTTCAAAATTTTCAACAGAAAAAAAATTAGTAGAAATTTTTGACAGAATTTATTTTCAGTCAAAAGTTTTGACAAAATTGAATTTTTAAATATTTTTGACTAAAAAAGTTTACATTAAAAGTTTTGACGAAAAAATTATATTTTTAACTAAATATGAAAAATTAATTTATAAATCAAATATTTTTTGTTATGGAATTTGACATGAAAAATTAACAAAGCGTGAAAATTTATTTTTGCTTTACATTTATGTTATGAAATCTTAATATTTGATTGGTTATATGATTTATTATGAGTTGCTATATGTATTAAATATAAACTATATTATATATATTAAAAATATTATTCAATATCAAAACATATTTTAACGTGTCAAAATTTTAAAATTAATATGTGCACGTATCATATTATGTCATATATGATATTTTGTTTTAGCGTTGGTGCAATATAGATAAAGATTACTGAAAAAAATACCTTAGGTCAACTCAAGGGTTGTGAAGTGTGTCCTCCGATATGGGCTTGGTTTTATGATTGACAATGCCTGGCTCTAAAAGCCCAACAAGTAGAAGTACCAAATTCCAAACTTAATCCCTAAGCATTTGCGTGCCACGTAGACAGACAAAGTAGGAAATGTCAAAATGGGAATTCGATACGGTTGTCTTAAATGTCTCCTCTCTCATAGTCTCTTAGTCTCAGTTAGTCCGAAAATGGAAACAACAATGGACCTTCGTGAATCAATCGGCGACCAAAACGACGTCGGCCTGAACATCGCGAAGCACTTCTTGTCGAAAGAAGGTGAGGACAAGAACCTTGTGTTTTCGCCGTTGTCGATTCACGTTGTGCTGAGCATCATCGCTGCTGGCTGCAAGGGTCCCACTCTCGATCAGCTTCTTTCCTTCCTCCGATCCAAATCCACTGACCACCTCAACTCCTTGGCCTCACAGATCGTCGCCGTTGTTCTCTCCGATGGTTCTCCCGCCGGCGGGCCGCGCCTGTCTTTCGCCGATGGTGTGTGGGTTGAACAATCCCTTTCTCTCAAACCTTCCTTCAAACAACTTCTTGACACTCATTATAAGGCCACCTTGGCTTCAGTTGATTTTCAGACTAAGGTCAGTTACCCTCTTTTTCGCTGGAATCATCCATGCTCTTTTTTTATTAGCCATTAATTTACCTGCACAAACACGCATGTTCTTTTTTTATTTATTATTTTTTATGGTTTCATGACCTGATTTAGAACAAATGTTATTTAATACAATTAATCTATTTCCATGCTCTAACCAATAACCATCTTATTTAAATCGGATAAAAAAGAAAATGTAAGGTAAGGCCAAGTATTCATGTCATGTTACTGTAACATAGTGTGGCTTGCTAGAATAGTGTGAGCCAACTTGGGGCGTAGACAAACTAAACTTTAGCGAGAAAACATTGAATATTTATCACACATAACAAGATTGAAATTTTCTACTATTTTTTTTTTAATTTTTTTATATGTCTTCTTTAACTTGGATGCTTTCGTAATTACTTGGACGGGGACCTATATTCATTCCCCCTGTGAGACCTAACCTCTTTACCATCAACGCTTCTTTGCTGGTAGTTGTTGATGGGATCCTTTTCAGCAAAAAGGCTAAGCTTAAAGGGGGGAAAAAAAAAAAAAAATTGCAGGAGGCAAGCCTGATGCCTTTCTATTGAAACTACCAAATTTTAAATAACGATTACAGTTAGCAGATATGACCGTAAGGAAGAGAACGTGACTACAAGATAACTAACTACATAGGAATTTAATCTAAAAAGCAGGAAATGGGGACAATAATGTTGACTACGTTGGACGAACTGAAGACCATTTCTCTAGCCACTATTGCTGCCCACATCATGCACATATCGGACAAGTAAGATGGTGTCTTTCGTGAGCGAGGTGCTAGTGAGGTTGCTAGGTTCGTATCAGTTGTTCAGTCCAATCCTTTTAAAATTAAATCTTCCGCTTGATGCCTCATTTCATCCCGTTGATGTGGTTGCATAGGATATGTTTTGCATTGGAGTCAAACCCTTTACCTAGTTCTTCACTAATGATTAATAAGCTCTTGGAGGTCATTTGAAAGCCCTTTGGTTCCAGTCTAGAGAGTCGGAAGGATGTAGTGTATGACAGAAATATAAACCATTCTTGTGTCATCACCCGATATCATAAACTTTTATGATAGTTGGTTAACATCATATTAAGCCTGCGTGATCAAGTATCATTATCACCCGAGTCTTCTAACAAATAAATGATAAGTTTCAGTTCAAAGTAGATGTGCCTGTCCATTACGTTAGGTGAAGGCCTATGAATGTCCTCTTGTACTAGAGTTTTTTGGACTTGAAGCTTAATCAATGTACAGGCTCATTTTTCCACGTGGTGAAAGTTATTTTTTTATTTAGAAAAAATGGGGCAGCAAGGATCAAATTCATGACAGTGTGGATGTTTTTCCATTCTTTTTGTTGGAAATTAGAAAAGATTGTTTCCTTATATTGGGGATATTATCAAATCCCTAATATCTCTTTATGATCAGTTTTTATTTTTTTATTTATTTTGAAAGCTGCATGTATTTGAATTTGTGAAATGCTTCATATTTTGATCATACAACCTTACTCCTGCCTACAAAATATGGCAAACATCCATAGGCCCAGCATCACACCACACTTCATCTTTGTAGTCTTTAATAATTTTAAATTGATCCAAGCATCTTGATGTATGTGACATACCTATACGTTATTCAAATTCATCAGACTAGACCTGTTAGCTTTTTCTTCTTGAATGTGTGTGATCAAATAAAAAATGAGTGCAAACAAGATGTCAAACAAGTGCTGCAATTCCTTGTCACAGTGAACCTCTGGCTCTTGGAATAGAAATCCAGCTTCAAATCTGTAGTTCTAGATAGAAAGCAACTCATCTGATCCTTTAACATACCACTAAAATGATTTTAAAGCAGCAAAAGCATTGACTTTTATGTAAACGATTGCTACCTTGCAAACTAGATGGTCTGTGTTGTATCTCTCCTCATTGTTGTCTAGTATAACCATATTTGATCCGTACTGTATCTATCTAATTCAGTAAATAAATATGTGAAAATAAGATTAACAAAAGCTTAAATGCTTCTATTAAAATGCTTGTTGAAAAAAAAAAAAATTCAACCGATCTAATTGCACAATTGATTTTCAATTTGATGATGTTTAAAGGCTGTTGAAGTGACCGGTGAAGTTAATTCATGGGCTGAAAAAGAGACAAATGGCCTTATTAAAGAGGTTCTTCCTCCCGGGTCAGTTGACAGCTCAACCAGGCTGATCTTTGCAAACGCACTATACTTCAAAGGAGCATGGAATGAGAAGTTTGATGCTTCAATAACTAAAGACTATGATTTTCACCTTCTGAATGGCAGCTCAGTTAAGGCTCCCTTCATGATCAGCAAGAAGAAGCAGTTTATTAGTGCTTTTGATGGTTTCAAAGTCCTTGGTCTTCCTTATAAGCAAGGTGAAGATAAGCGTCAGTTTTCTATGTACTTTTTTCTTCCAGATGCAAAAGATGGGCTGTCAGCTTTGGTGGAGAAGGTGGCTTCTGAATCTGGGTTCTTGGAGGGCAAGCTTCCTCGTCAAAAAGTGGAAGTAGGTGACTTCAGGATTCCAAGATTCAAGATTTCCTTTGGGTTGGAAACTTCTAAGATGCTGAAGGAGCTGGGACTGGTTTTGCCTTTCTCTGGTGGAGAGTTGACACAAATGGTGGACTCTTCTGTGGGTCAAAACCTATATGTTTCCAGCATATTTCACAGGTCTTTTATTGAAGTAAATGAAGAAGGCACTGAAGCTGCAGCGGCCAGTGCTGCAACTATAAAATTGAGGAGTCTGCGAATTCCAACTCATATAGACTTTGTAGCTGACCACCCTTTCTTGTTTATGATCAGAGAAGATTTGACCGGAACAGTACTCTTTATTGGGCAGGTGCTCAATCCCCTAGCTGGGTGATATTAGCGGCCATATTGGAGACAACAACATTGGTAGTGAAACTTACGCCCGTATTCTGCTTTCTTGTTTTTTCTTTTGGTCCAATAATCCAAAGTTTGTGATGGTTTGACACTTAAAAAAGCGTACATATGGATCAGCGTTGTATATTTTTTGTTGCTAACTGTTATGACTTACGAGTGTAAGGTCTTGTGTAATTAATTACCTCTTCTATGGGTGCTTCGAATAGCCAAATATTGAAACTTGAATGGGATAGTAAAATTTAGTAACAAAGCCTTCAAACTTATGTTACTTAAGTAGTTGATGATTCATTGGATATGAATATTGAATACATATAGACAAGAGTAGCCATTTAGCCTTACGTTTATTACTAATCATGCTTTCGATAGGACACTACTTATCAATCACAACAATGACTGATTTTCGTGCCACTTGTATGAGTACGTCAATGTTTTACCACTTGCATTAGTACGCAAACTTTGTTTAAGCATCCTTTCTTGTCCATTGTCTATGAAATCCGTAACGACGGGCAATATGTGCCAAAGCAAAATTGGAAAATTGCAATGTTTAGCTGCCGTTATTTAAATGATTCATGAACAATGAGCACAAAAAGTAGAGTGCAGTTATCCGATGATTAGGAAGTTTTTTTTACTACATAATAGAATTATTTTTACTACCAAAAATGTGGATCAATCAACGCAGAGTTGTTTCACCTTTATCTGTGGTCTCAAGTTCGAGTTTTAGTTAGTAAGGAGAATTTTCCGGGACAACGACCAAAGTGCCATACTTTTTGTAAAAAATTACTTGAATGCCACTTTTTGCAAATTTTTTTTCAAAATACTACGTCACCTAACTCGCTATAACACCTGGCAAGTTAGGTGTGACACGTGCAGAAGGTGCATGGCCACGTAAGTAGCTGCATAGTGCAGCGAAATCACGTGGCATCAAACATGCTATGCAGCATAGCATGTTTAGTCAGCTTCTAACACGTGGCAATTCTGGCAATTCTAAATAGGCTTAAACATGCTAACATGCCTAGGTCGAGGTTTTTATTTTTTAAATATAGATCAGGACAGACTTGTAATTTGGGGCCTACACAGGCCATGTCAGACCCAATAATTTTTACACAGGCCTGACATATTTAAACCAAGCCTAACCTAGCCTAGCTTATTACATCCCTAGTTCTTACGAGAAGGGTGTGTTAGAAAAATATAAAATATTGATGGACCTTCACTTACCAACTTAAACTTTTAGGTGAAATGATATCTTTATTATGGTACCAGAGCCTCCAGATCCTTGGGATCACGAATACAAACATCTTCGCCACCCACTTTCTAGTAAAATTAAGTCAATATAAAATAGAATAAAAAAGAAATTGAGTTATACAATACCCACACTTCAAGCCTAGATGTTAATCGTTTATTATGGTCTAGATCTATTGAAATATATAGTCCCACATTGATTGTGTGAGCAACTAATCTGACCTTTATAAGGCCTCGGGCGCTCCCTCCCTTTGAGCTAGCTTTTGGGGTGGTGACCTCAAGGTTCTTAACATGGTATCAGAGCGTTCGAAATCTCACCTCCTCCCACTTTCTTTGTAGTGGAATTTCCACATGTAGGTGGGCTTGTATGTTGTCCACCCTTCAAGCCCAGTGGGCTCTCGTGTGAGGGGGCGTGTTGAGAAATATAATCTCACATTGGTTGTATGGGCAACTAATGTGAGGTTTATAAGGCCTTAGACACTTCAATCCTTTGAGCTAACTTTTGAGGTGATGACTTCAAGGTTCTTAACATGGTATCAGATCCTCGTGTCCCGGGTTTGAATCTCACCGCCCCCCTATGTAGCACCGGTACCGACACGGGACACGGGACACGATACGACACGACACTCTGACACGTTAATTCTAAAAAATGTTAGATTTCGACACGTTAGGACACGTTTTGATATTAAATAATATTTTTAATTTATATAGTGTATATTATATTTAATATTCAATAAATTAACAAAAAAAATGAAACTAAACTTATAATATTCATCAATTTTGCAAAGAAATATAATATATCCCAAATGTTTATATTAATCTTAATAAAATAGTAATCGTAATCCAACGAATCTAATAGTTGGAACCAAAAACTCAATGCAGCGCAACCTTTGAACCTTTTTTGAATTTCTATAACGCGTGTTGGAGTGTCGGGGAGTGTTGGAGTGTCAGAGAGTGTCGAGAAGTGTCGGACACGACACGTCAGGATTTTTGAAGTGTCGGTGCTTCATAGCCGCCCCCACTTTCTTTGTAGTGGAACACTATCTATTATGTGAGACGATAGTTAACGTTTTATTTTATCTACGAAACGGGCCATCATCCAGATGTTAACAGATTTGTTTAGTTTCGAGGGTAAAAAGAATTAATTATAAGAAAATTTATTTACAATCAGTAACGATTATAGACATAAAATTTCCTATCTATCATGTGAGTTTTCCTCAAATTTTATGAATATAGATTTCGGTATCACAAACGAAAATAAAAGGAAATACGATAAAAAAAGAGAGAAAAAAGTAATATAATAATAAGAGAAAGCTTTTTGTGATTTTAAAAGACACAAACTTTTAGCTGCTTATAATATATATTTCGAATAGTACATAATTATAATATTAAAGTTGTATTTATTTTATTTTCTATGTCAGCCGACAGTTTGAAAAAAAAGTAAAAATTTAATATTATAATTATAGGGGAAGAATATTGTAACAACTAAGTTGAATTACTACCGTGTAACTACTAATCAATCTCACCGTTAGAACGATTATGTTAATCCAACGGTTATATTTATTTTCATCTTTGTATGATTATGGTTCCCCATATTTAAAGTAAAAGCATTAAGCCAACAAAGGTGGGCACAGTTGGCTAAGGGTTTGGTCCATACCCCTCAAGGGCGTGGGTTCAAACCCCGCTGGCCGATGTGAGGACTTTGTTGGTGGGTGATATGTAATCCCTCCCAGAAATCCTCAAAGAGGTTGGGGGGTCTTCCCTGACCCTAGTGGGATACCGGTGTCTAACCCCACTTAAACTTTTTTGTATTAAAAAAAAAAAAAAAAGTAAAAGCATTAAATATGAGAAATTATAACCATATAAAGGTGAAAATAAATATAAAGTATTAAATTTGAGAAATTATGATCATACAAATATGAAAATAAATATAACCGTTGGATCAACATAATCGATCTAACGATGAGATTGATTGGTAGTAACTTGGTAGTAATATAACTTAGTTGTTACAATATCCTTCTTCATAATTATATACTCCCCGATATACGTAATTGTAAGCAGCTAAAATTACACAAATTATATTCTTTAAAATAAAAAAAACATTTTCCCTAGTAATAATAATGATATATTCACGTTTCACTGTTGGAAGGGGATCCCACTAAAATATAAACCTGCTTATTTAAATTAACTTATTTTAACCTGAAAACTTTTTAAAATATTTTTTGTTTAATTTTTTGTTGTTGTAAATACTCCAAGTATTTACACCTATTTTATTACTTATTTACTTTACTAGGTCAATGAAAATTCTGAAAATATAATATTTCATGATTTGACTCTTTATTAAGTACGTACTCCGTTACTAAATTACTCTTACCATACCATCATAGCACTTCTATGTTGCACAGACGAGGCCGGCAACATTCTCAAGGATAATTTATGAAAGTAAAATTTGAGGCTTATTTGTTTGTTTGCAAATTATTTTAAAATGTAACGTCAATTTTATTTGTTTGAACTTGAAGAACGAAGGAAGCGTTCTGGTTCTGAATCTTGTCTTGGCTTGGGATTTACATTTGGAACTTGCTAGCTCATAACAAGGGGGGAGGAGGATGAAAATATGATCTGACACTAAACACACATGGTCATGGTCTCATGGTTTCTATTAGTTGACAGTGCCTTCAATCTGTTGGGGCATGGGCATTGTAGAGTTTTGTCAACCTAGGATTCTCTGTCTCTATGTGGGTCTGTGATTTTTGTGTTCATTTATGTTACACCCTGGCTCCAATTTGGATTTATCGTTGAAAATTTTAAACCGAGTGAGTTTCTTAAATTGCACTGTAGATATATTATATGAGAAAAATAAAGTGTAACTCAACACATTTGAATGCTAAACAAGAAAGCGGGTGGTTTATGAAATAATAATGAAATTTAAATACTTTTAATTAAGAGATTCTCGTGAATATAATTAGAGCTGTCAAAAAGGACTCAAGCCCTAGGGCCAACCCTATAAAATTTTAGCCCTCTATGTAATGGGGCCATTTTAAGCTCATCCTTTTAAAGCCCTCTCATTATAGGGTTAGGTTGGGGCTGGCCCGCGGGCTAGAATATTCAACCCAATTTACTACGAAAAAATTCCATCAAAAGTTTTGACGAAAAAAAGAATTCCTTCAAAAATTTTGACGGAATATTTTTCGTCCAAAATCTTCGATGAAAATGTGACCCAATGAAAATTACAACGGAAATATTTTTTTTCAAAATTTTTGAGGGAAATGTATCTGTGAAACTTTCGATGGAATTTAGATTTCGTAAAGATTTTTGACAATATTTTTTTCGTTGAAATTTTTTACAGAAATAATTTTCGTGGAAAATTTTTAACAAAAATGTGTTCTGTTTAAAATTTTGATAGAAATATTTTTTATCCAAAATTTTGTCAAAAATATTTTTCAACAAAATTTTTTGACGGAAATGTGTTTCGTCAAAAATTTTGACGGAAATTTTTTTCGTCAAATTTTTTACAGAAACGTTTTCTGTCAAAACTTTTTACGAAAAAATTTCTATGCAATAATTTTTTTAAAAAGTGACAATTTTCTAAAAACTATTTATTTTTATTTGTTCTAATAATTTCTATGCACCATTTTATTATAAATTTTTTTTTTTAAAATACATATTATTTTTTTAGAAGGCCCGTGAGCTGGCCCTACCCATAAGGCTTTGGCCCGTGTGGATCTATATCATTGTGGGCTTTTTGCCCCTGCGGGCTTTTTGGCCCTAACCCACTTGGGTTAGGGCTAAATGGGCCGGACTGGCCCGTTTTGACAGCTCTAAATATAATCAAACATCTTCACTCCCTTCCTCCCGTTAAGTGTTGTTTGTAATTCCGTTTTGCGTCTTTGCTTGCGTGAACAATTTATTTATAGATTTTATTAATCTCCTTTTACATAAGATATGTATCTTATGTTGTAGAGAGAAACTAGGTGGGTCTCACCATTACAAGAAAAAAAAAAAATGAGG